ACTGTTAGGTATGACGGAACAGCCTGTGGTCTCATTGTGTGTAAGCCCTGTGCCTGGCGGGGTTACCCCAGCTCACTGGGCAGTCATCTCCTCATTTTATAGGTAGATAGCACCTTCAGGCTGTCAGGTGCCAACGTGGGCTGGTGTCAGAGCTGGGGCTTGAACACAGGTTGCTGTTCTGGGCCCCACTCCCCAAACACCACACTGAAGGTCTTCATTCCATTGTAGCATTGTTTGCCTCTGGCTCTGATGAGAGCAAGACACCCTGGTTCTGGGATTCCTAGACTCATCACATTCTCTGAATGATTTTATTGCTTGTGTGAGCAGTGACATTGTTTACTTTGTGACTGTTGACTGAAGAACAAACAGGTTGCCTGACCCCGTGAAAACACACACACACACACACACACACACACACACTCAAATCTGGTTGGCCAGGCCAGGCCTCCATATCTACCAGGGCTGTGAATTATGGAGACATGAGGACATCGAGAACTCTTGGTGCTGGCTGGATACTCTGGAAGATAGGTAGATAGGTTTTCTACTGCCTTTGGGAGACTGAGGGTCTTATCTGGACCAGCAGCTTTGTCTCCATTGCCTCTTGACTCAGCCTGGAGGGGAACCTGTTTTTAGGGTGCCCACTAAGTTGTTGCTGCAATAGTCTGATTTCTGGACTTGGGAATGGGCAGACTTGAGCTGGGACTCATCTTTTCCACCACTGTTCTATGTCAGCTGGTTGACACCAGGCACTGTGGAACTCCTATGGGTCCTGATCTCTTCCTCCAAGGAGGGAAATGTTCACAGAATTGTGGGATTTATTGGGCCTTTGATCGTTGCCTGATGGTGGTGATGGTTGTGGTGATGATGTTGGTGAAGGTGGTGATGGTGGTGGTGAAGGTGATGGTGGTGAAGGTGGTGAATGTGGTGAAGGTGATGGTGGTGAAGGTGGTGATGATGGTGGTGGAGGTGGTTATGGTGATGGTGGTGAAGGTGGTAATGATGGTAATGATGATAGTGATGATGATATTGGTGGTGACTGTGATGACAATGTTGATGGTGGTGGTAATAGTAATGGCAGAGGGAGCACAGGGTTAACAGCCCTTATGCATGATACACATGGCCACATGCTTGCTCAGACCTTTTCCCCCATGGGTTTCACTATGACTTCCACCCATAGCACTAGAGGAGGTGAGAGAAAGGTTGAGCTATGTAGAGAGAAGAGAGGCTCCAAGAGGCCAGCAGGACCAGGAGTGGGGATGGGATTCCAGACCCAGTGGGCTTCTGCTATGCTCTCCTTGTGGTTGCCATACAACTACCTGGAAGGATAGTGGGGGAAAGTGTCAGGATCAGATCCAGAGAGTGCCAAGAGGGAGGTGCTTTGGGGATGCAGAGGAACTCTGACTCTGAACCTACTGATGTCTTTTTGTCCTGGTGAGGCTTTATATGCCGACAGGGTGGAGCTCAAGAGCTCAGCTGCTGATTCCTCCAAGGTTCTAGTTAGGCACCTGGGGAAAGGAATCAAGCCTCAGGCAGGAAGGAGGGGATTTAGAGCTAGACGTGGGAACTCTAAGGATGGAGAGTTCCCACGTCACTGGGGAGCAGGTTAGAGAGTAGAGACCGCGTGGGTGTTTGGGACCAAGTCAAAGGAAGGAGGCTGGATGAAGGAGTGCTGAAATCAAGTCAAATGCAGACCCAACCTCTGCCAGAGGCTAGAGACTGGGTGGCCGCTAGGAATCAAGTTGAGGATGGAGGCTTAGGTGAGTGTGAGAAGCAGGCCAGGGGTAGGAAGCTGGGCTGTCACGGAGATGGTGGCCTTAGTGGCAGTAAGCACAGGGTTAGCAGGAGAGGTAGGAGGATGGAGGACAGTAACTTAGTGTGGCTAAACAGGGGCGAGAGAACCAAACAGCAGGTGGCAGGAGGAGAAGGTGTGGCCAGTTGTGTGAGGCCTCTATGCCCAGCAGCTTCCCCTCTGTGTGGCTGCATGGAGGGTTCCCATGACGGGGATGCTAGACCCAGAGCCTTTACTATGTTCCCGGTCCATTTACCCAGCCCTCTTTGTCCTCCATGTCCCACCGACACTCCCTGACTAACTCCTACCCCTAAAGGGTATGCTATTAGCCACGCTGCTCAGGGCACACCAGTCCCCTGCTTAAAGCCCTCCAGTGACTTAGGTTGCACTCGGAGCTCCTGCTGGAGCTCTCAGGTTCCCTTTCTCTGCTCCATTAGCCACACTGGCCTCATTCCTTTCCTCTGTTCCTTAAACGCGTTCAGCCATTTCCAGCCTCCTAGTCTTCGCATATGCCGTTCCTTCTGCCTGGAGCGTCCTTTCCCCAGAGCGTCACTGGCAGCGCCTTTCTCTTTTGCTCTTAAATGGCTCTTCCTTTAGAAGAAAAGGTGATTCATTGTGATTCCCACCATATCCCCCTTGTTTATTTACTTTTCAGTACTTTTGATTTATGTATCCAACAAACATTTATTGAGCATCTAGTATGTTCCAGGCACTTGCTGTTCCAGGGCCTGGAGTTACAGCTGTAAATGTAATAGGCAACAATCTGTGCTCTCAGTTACAGCCTTGTCGAAGGCTGGGGAGACAGGTCTGAAATCAAAGAGATACGAAAGCAGAAACTGTCCACCGCATTGTCGGGAGCCTGGGGTAGGGAAAAGCCAGAAAGAGAAGCGGATTGAATGTGTGTGTATCCTTTTCTTAGGCTGTTGTGTGGGCTGAACGAGAGCAAGTTTACCATAGCCATGGAGACTGTGCACACAGTAGGGGCTCAGGACAATCAGGACAAGCAGGGATATGGAGGCCAAGAGAGTATGCTGTAGTAGGAGGGAGTAGCGTGAGTTGAGGCTTGGGAGAAGCAGCGCAGCCCTAGGGACCCAGGAGGTCCCTTTTGGCTACAGTGATGGTTGGTGGAGAGAGAGGTGGGTTCCAAAGCTGGCGTCTAGTGATGGGAAGACTGGAGCCACCCCAGGGAGGGTGCCGTTCTACCTGGGTGGCTGATGCGTGGCTAGCCAACGTGCTTATGTAAGGTTTGTGCTGTTTTTCTGGAAATGGGAGCAAAACTTGGAGCTCAGGAGAAAACACTGCGGCCCTGACCAGCCGGGCGAAGCGGCAGGAAGTACCGGCTCCTGTCCGTTGCTCATGGGAACAAAGAAGTGTCTGGACCCATCAGTTCAAGGTGGCTCAGTCAATAGCCTTGCAGCTGCCAGCAGCAGCCAGGAGCGCAGGCCCTCTGACCTCCTCTTGCTGCCGAGTTTGGATAAGCCTTCAGGGATATGTAGCCCCTAGGGGGAGACTATAGGGCGCTGGGCTCTAGTAGTGCCTGCCCTTCATAGCCTGCCAGGGGGCAAGTCAGGCCAGTGCCAGTTGCCGCTTGGAGGGCTGGAACTGGAATTCTGGCTTCTCATCTACCCCTGGTTCTGTTCAAGCTACCCCTCTTCCTGGGCCTCAGTTTCCCTATGAGAGCCCCATGAACTGGCCGGGTGCATCAGAATAAGACTAGCATGTGGGGCTGCCCCTGAGTGGAGTCAGGGTCAGTGTGTGATTGGCAGGCCAAGGACACTTCAAATCGAGGCCCCTTGGGAAAGCACTAAGGATTTCAGAGAGGCAAGACAGACCCGGAAGTTATGTGACTAAGGCCCAGCTCTGCTCTCTCCTGACTGTGTGTCTGTTCTGGGCCTCAGTTTCTCCACCTGTAAAACGGAGAGATTAGTCTTGTGGAGCCCTGGGTTCTCATCCTGGTGTGTGTGTGTGTGAGCTTTCTGGAGGTCTCAAATGTCACTTCCTCAGGGAAGCTGCTGCTGGTCCCTCCTTGCTCTTCAGTGTCTGACACCACCCACTTTCTCCTTTGTAACACATTGCTCCAGCAGCCCAGCCTGTGTTCATGGTAACATCTTTATTTCCCTAAAATTTTACTTCTTTTTTGATGGTTTGATGAACAGATAATTCTACTCTTTTATGTGTTATTTTAGAAAGATTTATTTTAGTATTTTAAAGTTATATGTGTGTATGTGTGTGTGTCTATGTGTGTGTGTGTGCATGGGAGTGCAGGTGCCCAAAGTGTCCAGAAGAGGGCATTAGATCCTTTGCAGACAGTTGTGAATGCCCTAATGTGGGTACTGGGATCTGAACTAGGGTCCTTGCCAAAGTGGCATGCATTCTTTTTTTTTTCTTAAATATTTATTTATTTATTATGTATACAATATTCTGTCTGTGTGTATGTCTGCAGGCCAGAAGAGGGCACCAGACCTCATTACAGATGGTTGTGAGCCACCATGTGGTTGCTGGGAATTGAACTCAGGACCTTTGGAAGAGCAGGCAATGCTCTTAACCACTGAGCCATCTCTCTAGCCCCGTGGCATGCATTCTTAACTGCTCAGCCATCTCTCCTTTCCTTTTAAACTTATTTGATATTTCAATAATTTTTGGAGACAGGTTCTCTAGCCTAGGTTGACCTCAAACAGCCCGTGTAGTTGAGGATGCTCTTATACTTCTGCCCCTTCTGCCTCTACCTCTCCTGTGCTAGGAATATAGGTGTGCCACTGTGCCTGGTTTGTGTGATGCTGGAGACCGAATCTAGGACGGTGTGCATGCTGGGCAAGCACTCTACTAACTGATCTACATCCTTAGCCCTAGACTTTAGTTAATTAATTAATTATGACAGTATTGGGAATACCCTCTACCACTGAGTCACACCCCCAACCCGAACTCTAGTTCAGCACTATGAAAATAAAAGAAAAAGATATCATTTACATTCTGAGTTTTTTTTTTTATTGATTTATTTATAGTTCTGACTTACTGAAACCCGCTCTAGCTTGGCTTGCCCAATGACCATCTGGCTGAGTGATTCTGACTTAAGTGCAGTGGCTATAGTGAGGGGGAGGGGAGGGAGGACCTGTGGCTAGGCTGTCTGAGCTATGTCACCCACTGTCGGGGAGGTAGGCTGGGTAGTAAGTGCTAAACCAGCCCCCCCCATGTGTCCTTCTCTGCTCCCTAGGGCTCCCTGCTCCATGCTGACATGGCTGACGGCGCCTTACCACCCTCATCTGCAGCAGCCCCGGCCCCTGAGCCAGGAATCACTGAGCAGCCAGGGCCCCGGAGTCCCCCTCCGTCCCCTCCTGGCCTGGAGGAGCCACTGGATGGAACCAACCCTGATGTCCCACACCCAGACCTGGCACCTGTTGCCTTCTTCTGCCTGCGCCAGACCACGAGCCCCCGGAACTGGTGCATCAAGATGGTATGTAACCCATATCCTTTGGAGGCCGGTGTGTCTGTGCTCTGCCCAGGGGCCAGCCTGGGAAGAGAGAATGGGCAGCGCTACTTCCTAGACACTGGCTGCCCACATGGTCCTCTGGCCAGCGGAACTGAGGGCTGCAGGCCTCTTGGGCTTTGGTGAGTGGGCACATAGCCATCTGGAGAGATGTCAAGGGTGGAGGCTGGACCTGGGGTCTTGTTGAGGTGAAATTTCTGGAAGCTGCTGATGGCAGTTTTTGTGCTAAGGGACCAGCTCCCTCAGCAATACTCTACTTGGGGCACTCAACCCGTGAGCCCTTACTGCTTTTGTGGAATCTCCCTTCTTATTACAGTTGCATGGGGTATAAGGTTTCCAGTTCTTAAACTTTGGGACACATGTTCAAGATTCTTTACAGGTTCCTATGACCACAAGGTTTCAGAGACATGCTAACCTAGCTCACCAGACCCTCGGTACCCTGACCTAGCCTCCTCCTTCACACTCTGCTCCCCCTTGGTTCACCCATGCTCTGGGCTTCTCACATACTGTTCCCTCTGGCTAAAATGCGTTTTCCTCCCCTCTTCACCTGGCCAAATCCTTTGTGATTTGTCACCTTTAAATCACATCTCCGGTGTCGCCTCCTTAGGCAGCCCTCTGTGATTACCTGGGGCTCTTCATGCAACCTCACATCAAGTTGTGGATTTTTCTTTTTCTTTTTGAGGCAAGGTCTCTTATAGCTGAGATTAGCTGTGCAGCTAAGGATGACCTTAAACTTCTGATCCTTCTACCTCCAGAACTTGGGAGGCAGACACGAAAGATCTCTGTGAGTTCAAGGCCAGCCTGGTCTTCAGAGCGAGTTCTAGGACAGGCTCCAAAGCTGTCTTCAAAAACAAACAAAAAAGTGTTGAGAACAATTTAGGGGCATGGAGCACGCGAGCAGACTGTCCAGGCTGAAGAAGAAGTGCTGGCAAAGGTTTGAGCTACCTTTTTTCCTTCCATCTTTTTTGAGACAGGGTCTCTATGTGGTCCTGATTATCTTGGAACTCTTTCTGTAGACCAGACTGGTCTTGAACTCACAGAGATCCTCCTGCCTCTGCTTACCGAGTGCTGGGATTAAAGGTGTGCGCCACCACTACCCAGGTCTGTGTTAGGCTTTCCAAGGAAGGTAAACCTTTGGTGTGGTTCCCTCCATGCCTGGCTGAGGTTTGAACTTTCAAGGAAGAGAAGGCTAGAGGACCAGGGAGACAGTGGGACAAGGTCAGAGGCCTATCTTCTTGCCGGGTGACAGGAGAGCATTTTGGGTGCTGTATGACGTCACTGGACCTCTCTGAACTTCTGTTGGTAGGCTGATCACCATGACTCTGGCCTGCAGAAGACCTTGGCTTGGGAATGTGACTCTGATCGGCTCTGACAGGGCTGACTGGGCTGACATGGCACATGCTGTCTGTCCCAAGTGCCATGGAGAGGTCCTTACTGGGGAGTTGGCCAGTGTCCTGTCTGCTGAGTGTGTGTGACTTTGTGCCTGTCCTTTCATCCGAGTCCCAGTGCCTCCATCTGGAGAGGAGGGGCTGGTGAGCTGTCTCCTTCCAGCTTTGGGAGCCAGGGCCGGCCATGCTCATCAGTGGGACATGCCTAGCACTAGAACTCAGGTTGTCACCTGCTAGCCTGGGCAGCTACATTGCTGACCTGTTGATTAAATAGGGCCCTCCAGTCACTCTGCCCACTGATGTCACCCTCCCAACTCCTCTGCTCAGTGAGTCCAGTTGGGGCGGGACACAATGGGGCTGGGTTGGGAGGGAGAGAAGGGGCCTTTGGTGGAGCTGGGCGAAAGATTCGGAGCTGGAGAGATAGATGCTCAGTAGTTAACAGTGTGTGCTCTTCCAGAAGACCCGCAGACAGCTCACAACCACTTGGACCTCCAGTTCTTCCTGGTTAGAGTTTTGCCAACTTGACACAAGCTAGCTTTTGGGAAGAGGGAACCAGGCTGGCGTTGAACTCTCAGAAATCCACTTGCCTCTGCTTCCCAAGTGCTGGGATTAAAAGTGTGTGCCTCTATGCCTGATTAGCATTTTCTTGATTAGTGGTTGATGTGAGTATGTATAGATCACAGGGGGTGGTGTTACCCCTGCGCTCGTGGTACTGAGCTGTATAAGAAAGCGGGCTGAGCAAGCCATGGGGCTCAAGACAGTAAGCAGCACTCCCCTATGGCCTCTGCTTCAGTTCCTGTCCTCTGGTTCCTTCCTTGACTTTCTATCTGTACTTCCCTTAGTGATGGAGCTGTAAGTCAAATAAACCCTTTCTTCCCCAAGCTGCTTTTGGTCATTGTGTTTAATGACAGTAATAGAAATCCTAACTAAGACAAGCTCTGAGGAATCTCTTCTGGCCTCTGCAGACCCCTGAAGACATATACCACACATACAAAAATAATAAACTTTAAAAAGAGAGATTTAACCAAAGGGACACAGATCAGCCACACTTCTCCTTTTTCTCTGCCCTCTGCTGATTTCACACATCCTCCTGCAACCCACCTGCATCCCCTCCTCCTTCCATCCTACTATCCACCTGCATCCCCTTCTCCTTCTATCCTCCTGTTACCCACCTGCACCTACTCCACCCTCCATCCTCCTCCTCCCTCCATCCTCCGGATACACACCTGGATCCCACTCCTCCCTCCATCCTTATCCTCCTGGTACCCACATGCATCCCCTCCTCCATCCATCCTCCTGCTATCCACATGCACCCCACTCCTCCTTCCCTCCACGTACTTTATCCTCTTACCTCCACCATCCATCTTCCATCTTCTCCACTTCTCTTTCATCCCTTCCATCTCTCACCTCCTCCATCTTCTACCTTCTCCATCTTCCTTAATTTCCCCTACCCCCTTTCTTCCACCATCTTCCCTTCCTCCCATTTCCTTATCTGCACCCCACTTCTCCCTCCACCCTTCATCCTTATGCCCCCTGTTTCTCCTTCACCTTCAACTATCCTTCTTCCTCCTTTTTTCCTCCTCACCCTTCATCCCTCCTCTGGCCTTCTTTCTCCATCTTTTCCTTTTCCTCTGTTCTCCACCTTCTTTCCTTCTTAACCCAATTTCCATTCCCCAACTCCTTTTCCGTATTCCTTCCTCCACAGCAGTCTTGGTTCTTCATTTCCAATCCTCTATCCTCCATCTTTTCTCCCTGATCCTCCTTCCTCTCTTTATTCTTCATTCTCAGCCCTCCTCCCTTTCCTCCATCCTCTGGCTTTCACCTCTTTTCTCTTCTTCCGTCTTGCTTTTCCTTCAATGCCCCTTCTCTTTTCTCACCCTTCATCCCTTCTTCTACCTTCTGTTTTTCCTTCTTCACCTTCTGCTGATCTTCCACCTCCTCCATCTCCTCCATCCTCCTCCATCTCCTCCATCATCATCATCTCCATCTCCTCCATCCTCCTCCATCTCCTCCATCATCATCATCTCCATCTCCTCCATCCTCCTCCATCTCCTCCACCATCATCTCCATCTCCTCCATTCTCCTCCATCTCCTCCATCCTCCTCCATCTCCTCCATCCTCCTCCATCTCCTCCATCCTCCTCCATCTTCTCCATCTCCTCCATCATCATCTCCATCTCCTCCATTCTCCTCCATCTCCTCCATCCTCCTCCATCTCCTTCATCATCATCTCCATCTCCTCCATCCTCCTCCATCTCCTCCACCATCATCTCCATCTCCTCCATTCTCCTCCATCTCCTCCATCCTCCTCCATCTCCTCCACCATCATCTCCATCTCCTCCATTCTCCTCCATCTTCTCCATCTCCTCCATCATCATCTCCATCTCCTCCATTCTCCTCCATCTCCTCCATCCTCTTCCGTCTCCTCCATCTCCTCCATTCTCCATCATCATCTCCATCTCCTCCATTCTCCTCCATCCTCCTCCATCTCTTCCATCCTCCTCCATCCTCCTTCATCTCCTCCATCCTCCTTCATCTCCTCCATCCTCCGTCTCCCATCTTCTCCATTTCCATCTTCCTTCCACATCCTTCATTTTCTACCTCCTCCCTCCCTTCCACCTGTCTTTTCCCCATCTTCCTCAGGAAAGTCTCCTCAACCCTGAATGTCTGGTGCTGTCCGTGGCAACAGCTGCTGTTTCTGTACTGGGGTTGGGAACATCAGATCACAGCTGGGGTGTGCCGAAGCAGAGTGAGTTCAAGGATTCCAGGCTCAGAATCAATTAGTCTAGAAGCTTCTGTGTTGAAGTCTAAGAGTTTACAGGTAGGATTTAAGACTGGGTGGCAGGAAAACTGGACACTTCAATAATCTAAGCTCTGAAAAATTCATGTTCTAGATGTGTGAACTTGGCAGCTGGGATATTGTGTGCCTGGGGTCCAGGGACCTGGAACTTGGGGCTGTGATCACAGAGCTGGGGCTGAAGTCTCCTAGCAGATAGGTAGGTGGGAGCCAGGAAACTGCTGCATCAACAGGGGACTCTGTGGCCGGGACTTGGGGGACCTCAGAATAGGCTTCAAGTGCTCAGAAAGCCTATGTTAGAGAGGGGACTCTTAGGAGGCGTCGAGGGTCAGCTCTCCTAGTTGGAAATGTCTCTCCAGCAATCAGTGGGAGCAGTGTCAGGCAGTGTCTAACCTAGTCCTTCTCAGTGGGAGGAAGTTAGGGTAGTGTTTCAACTGGTGCTCCTTAGTGGGTATGTAGTACTCAACTTAGTTCTCCTTGTGGGAGGGCCCTGGGTGGGGTAACGTTTAACCTCGTCCTCACAGTGTTAGGGGAAACTTGGAAGCACTTAATCTAATGCTCCTCCATATGGAGCCCTGCCTGAATTTTGGGCTGTTAGCATTTGAGGGTCTGGACGGTCTTGCACATTATAGGATGTTGGTCATTCCTGACCTTGGGCACAGAATGCTGAGCATCCCTAGGTTACTGGGACCACCAGATATGACCCTTTGCATGTGCACTCTCTGCGGATGGTGGCTTAACTCCTTGCTAAAATTGAGCCTGAAGGGTAAAGGCCTGCAATGTCAGGCCAGGCA